AGTTAATATGAGAGCTCTCACCTCAGGCGTCCTCCACACTAAATTCTGGGTTGTAGACAAGAAACACATTTACATTGGCAGTGCCAACATGGACTGGAGGTCCCTCACACAGGTACGCACGCACACACACACACACACACACACACACACACACACACACACACACAGGTTATCTGTCAGAATCAAACGTCTCCACAGAAACCTGGTTTACAGTCAATTTTTATCCTATATGTTATATTAAATGGTTTACCTGAATATGTCTGTGACTCTGTGGGTAGTGTCTGTGTTTTAAAGTAATAATCATTACATTAGCATGAGAGGAAGTGGATGAGAAACAAAGTATTGTTCTGTTTTTAAACTCAGTGTTCAGTGTTGTTGTTCCGGTCTGAAAAAGGTTCCCAGGTGATTTCTGCTATGAATGAAAGATGGAAAATGATCCGATGCGCGATCCAAGCAGCATTGCGTTTCTATTGCTTTTAAGAGGAAGTTCAAACTTTCAGTCACATGCCCCCTTAAAGAATGGTTAACATTCGCTTTAATACACTGACTCATTAATATCCCAAACCACATCTCAGTTTTAGCTTACCTCATCAGATATTTAGTTAGATTGGGTATTCATGTTTGCTGAGTTGTCACTGCCATAAACATTTTATCGTTTCTGTGTGTCTGCAAACAAGAGACATTTTTTTATGAAATTACCAGTTACCAGTTAAATGAAATGCAAAATAAGTTCAGAAAAATATTGCTATGAAGTAATAGAATCTACACAAAGTGGTGTTAGACATCTGTTATCTCTTACATTCTGACACTGAAACATTTACACAGTGTTAATAGAGGCATTAATGATATTAAACATCCAGATCTTCAGATGAAGACAAAGAAATATGACCCGGTCAAAGGATGGAATTAGAAATTGAAACTGCGTCACCATAGTGAGAGAGCAACATTTCTAAAAATAGTTTCTTTTTTCTGTTCATTGCCACAGTTGTAAAATCTCGACGCTGTTAAAATGTGTGCTAGAGTTCATACTCTGCTGTTGGTCTCCAGGTGAAGGAGCTTGGCGCGGTGGTCTACAACTGCAGCTGCTTGGCCGCAGACCTGGGCAAGATCTTTGAAGCTTACTGGTTCCTGGGGGAGAGTCAGTCAGTCCCTTCACCGTGGCCCTCCAGCTTCGCCACCCTCTACAACAAGGACACGCCCCTCCAGCTGCCACTCAACAACACGCCGTCCAGCGTCTACCTGTCGGTGAGATTGGAGATTCTTCTTCCTCATTTTCTTTGATTTCTTATCTTTTACTTATCTGAAGTGGCAGCATATCCTGTTTTTCTTTATCTTTTACATAAACCCAAGGTTGTCATGTGACCTGCAGTCCCAAATGAGGCCACAAAACCAAAAATACCCCACAGGCCAGTGTGTCCCACTCCACCCTCTGGCCTTCTTACATCACTGTACTTCTAACAACCACTGCTCTTATTCAGCTTACCATCTGTCGAGGCTGCTGTATCGTTTAAAATGACATTATTGACCAGATCTCTCTTCTCTCCTGCCTTTCTTCAGAGTTCCCCTCCGTCCTTCTGTGCAGCTGGGAGGACTCCAGACCTTCAGTCCGTCCTCAGTGTGATGGAGGATGCCCAGAGCTTCATCTACATCGCTGTCATGAACTACCTGCCCACCATGGAGTTTTCACATCCTAAAAGGTACAGTTGTTCAGAGACTGGTTGAGGAGAGCCGGCGTTAATGTAGGTCAGATTTTTAGCCAGCATGGTCCTATGGATGGTTATTAGTGGTCGGTCAGTCCACCACTTTGTTCCAGACTGAAATATCTATTATCCATAGTGGATGGATTGCTGTGACATCTGGCACAGATGTTCAAAATCACTTTGGTGATCTTCAGACTTTTCATCTAGCGCCATCATCAGGTCAATATTTTTATTTGTCCAGTCACCGAATACCCAAAAATCAGCCTCAGGTTTGCTGACACACTAAACTAAGATGGCATCAGCATGTTAGCATTGTCATTGTGATCATATCAGCATGCTGACATTAGCATTTAACTGAAGTACAACCCTCACAGAGTCGTAAGTTTGGCTGTTTTGTATTCTCACATTGCATCTTTAAACCCAAAGGTAAAGGTAAGTACTTGTTTAAAGTCATGCCACTAGGCACCCAGCAGTTTTATACCACAGAGCTTTTATGCTGTGGTACATGTGAAACACCTGTGCAGAAATTTGTAATCAAAAGTTTATTTATTACATTATAATCTACTTAAACAGAATTTTTAAAAGGGAGATTCACACTTAATCCTCTCTTCTCTCTGTTTAATGAAACACTGTTATTCTGAGCATTTTATTTGCGGATGAATAATGGAGAATAAAATTGGGACGTGGCCTATTTGCATGGTTAATGTGATGTCTTGTGTATTAATACCGTGCCTGTGGCGCCCTCTGCAGGTACTGGGCAGACATCGACACCCAGCTGAGGCGAGTGGGATACGAGAAGCGGGTCAAAGTGCGCCTGCTGATCAGCTGTTGGGCCAGCACCCAGCCGGTCATGTTTCCCTTCCTGAAGTCTCTGGCATCAGTTTATGACGCCAAGAGCAAACTGGACATCCAGGTGGTGAGTAGCTCTTCTCTGGTGCCTTTATAAAAATAAAGACCTGGCCTGAGCCTCTACATATCACGATGCATATTCTAAAAACAATCACCTGATGGGTCTCTGGTTTCCCTTCGTTCAGAGGTTGTTTGTGGTGCCTGCCAGCCCCAAGCAGAAGGAGATCCCCTTTGCCAGAGTCAACCACAACAAGTACATGGTCACTGACAAGGTGGCCTACATAGGTAAGGCTGCAGGCACACACTGCATGGTTCAGGTGAAACACCCTGAGGGACCAACAATTAAGTGGAGTAGCTGTTTATTCACTCATATATACAATATAATATATAAGTGTTAGTGTCTAGTGCCTAGTCTTTTGGAAAAAGTGATAAATAGGATCAAATATAATCCGTTTTTTTCTGTCTTCAGGTACGTCCAACTGGTCAGGTGACTACTTTGTGAACACAGCTGGCTCGGCACTGGTTGTCAACCAGACTGCATCACAGACCTCGGAGCCAACCGTCCAATCACAGCTCAAGGATGTGTTTGAGAGGGACTGGAACTCCGACTACAGCACTCCTCTCACCCAGCACTCAAACCTCAAAGACTTGTGTTAGTTTCCACAGCCAATGTTACAAATACCACATCAGTCTACATCGGGGTACCACAGCTGGACTCTGCTGTTCAACACATATTGCACATGTATTTAACTATTCAAATTGTACTGCATTTTGTACTAGTCAGTCAAGTTCTCAGACGACCTCTCAGCGGAGTTTCTCCATTGGCCAAGGATCAAAAAGGACTTGCGGTAAACCTGGCTAAGACCAGTGTGTAACGTGCCAACAAACCAGTAAACTGCCAACTACTTCCAGTCTCTACCACTACCAGGGGTTCTTCAAGGGTGCTTGATTTATTTTTTTTCTTTAAGGCAAGAATTACTTTGCATCTCTTTGCTGTTTCTATCAGAGGTGGCCGGGGTTCGGACTACATGTGTGGGCAATAAGCCAGATAGGACTTAAGTTAATGAGAGTGAAACACAGGTCAGCAGTCAGAATGTTACCAGTATTGGCACACACCATGAACAGACACATACCATTAACTTGAATGAATTAAATCATGGTTTCTGTCATGCAGTGCCAGTAGCAGCAGGGGGCGCTGTTTTAGCTTTCCAGTCAGGTCAGTTTCATGCTGAAGCACAGGGATGTTTTCAACTGGCTTCCATAGTCAAGCGTTAAGGGATCAATCACAATGCATTTCTCAGTGGGAGTTTTTTTTTTTTTATCCCAGCTCATCTCAGGGACTACAGTCTGAGTGTTTTCTTAAATAATATTTTTCTTTTGCTTGAATCTGGAATAATTAATGCTCAAACTGGTGTTCTGTGCCTGTACTGTGAATAAGATGCAGGCTTTTTAAATTCCACTCTCAGCCTCCACGACTGTTTTTAAACTAAACAAATTGAAGGCTGAAGTCAGCATTGCATACAGCAGATTGAAAGTTTGCAGCAGCAGTAAATGAGGATGAACTCATTTAATTTCCACTGTGTGGAGTGATTGAAACTACCAATTAGTGAAGAGGTGGTTGTTATGGCAACTGTCGACAGAAGCGTGTTTTCTAGTAGTGGCGAGCTTCTAAAAAAAGGCTCCGGAGCAGTTATTGTGTACATGTTATTATCTTCTTCCTCTTTATAAAGAAATTACTCTCAATAAATGTCTTTGAATCAAACCTCTTCCAGCCTGTTTGAAGTTCTTCACATGTCCTCTAATACATCGGCTATATATTCAGTTATTTTAAAGTGCCTGTTGAGTGCTGCATATGCGTTATTTATATGACTGTATCCCACTGTTTTATGGTTTCACCAGATACTCTCCCCCCTTGGTAAACAGACTACTGCTAATCATTGTGGTCTTGAGAAATATTAGCATACCTGAATGTGTCACCGTACAGCGGAGGGCAACAGAACTCCTGCACAGCCTCACTTACTACTGTTTAGTTCCTACAATGTTTGAACAACTTGTATAGCTGAGTCAATATCTGCAGGATTTTAGAAGATTCTTTTGGATAACAACTAAAACATGTTAATTAAAGCTCCAAATTCCATAAACTCTACCTCGGTCACATTCCTAAAACACTACTAATTTGTGGTGCTGACTGCAGCACAGTCTGTTTACTGTAGGACGGACTTCTCTCTCTGTTAAACATCCAAACAGGATGAAGTCTGTGTTGTTGGACTGTAAAAACCCCTTTAACTCTACTGAAGCCATAGAAGGGAGATCCAAGTGAAAGTGGACTGAGGTTAATTGAACCCGGAGAGAGGAGACGTAGCTCACAGGATGGATACATACTGAGACTTCTACAGCCGTCCTGCTCACACCAGTTGGGTTGGATCGAACTGGAAGACTCTTTCGGTTCCCTTTCATCCTGGACAGGTGGGAAGATTGGAGGCATTGGTGTATTACTGACCGGGGCCCCGGGGCCAGAGCCTCTGTTTGATGCGACTGTTCCTAACATTTATATATGATGGTCTCCTGCAACATTTTTGTTTGGTGTTCTGTACTATTCAGTATGATTTCTGTGTCAGTGTGGATCTGCTGTGGCAGGAAGCTTTAGACAGGAGTCAGACAGCCTCTCTTCATCTCAGCGTGAACTAAACACTGAAGTTCTGCTGCAGCTTTTTAACCAAAAAAGAATTTTAAAAAGTTCTGGTTCACCTGCAATATGTCATTGTGCTGTTTGTGCATGTCTCTCAGTCCGGGTGTCTTGCTCCTACAGTATGTATGTAGGAGGGGTAGGGGGGCTTTTACATGTCTGCGCCCATTGTCTCATAATCTGTCCATAAGTGGAGGGTACTCTGGAGACCTGGGTGGCCCTGAGACATGCCTCATCTTGGAGTCTCTGTCTCTGATGGGACTCTTGTCCAGGGCTTGAATGTGGAGTCAAAAGGCCAGTTGGATATAAATACTACTCTGAAATATGTAAGCAAAGAGTTTCCCCCAAACATTCAAGTAAAGTACAGAGTGTTCAGAGCTCTATAATTATGTAAATCCTGTATGAACATCAACATGAAATACAGTTTCAAACCTTTTATGACATACAGTACTGCAGGAGGAGAGGGGAGAACCACCATCATGATTACTTTACTACTAACTGTACTGAATGTGCTGCTATTATTATTATTATTATTATTATTATTGTTCTCAGGACAGTAACTGGAGCAGATGGACTGCCCTGGCCGCCAGCTGTGATGTTGTTTCTGCTGTGGAGCTGTTACATTGTTCCCAGACACAATACAATAGACAAGCGGGGGGTTTTCTGTCCATACATTAATCGTCCATCTGCGCACAGCAGCGCGGAGGAGGAGCGTTAACGGCGCAGGGACCGGACAGCAGGGCGGACATGGCGGTACACAACACAGTGCTGTATGTCACTGCTGGACCTGAGAGAGGTTGTTTCTCAGCTTTAAAACTGAAGATTGCTTTGATAAACTGATGTCTGATGCCACCTGGAATCATGGAAGAGCAGCAGTCGGTGTTTGTGACTTCCTGCGCGGGGATGCTGCCCGTTTGGGGCGCAACGCTGTGACTTTCTGCGGGTGAGGCTGCAAAGTTTCCAGGCAGAGCTCCAAACCAGGGCGGTAATTTCAGAAGAATGAAGGTATGAGGATCTAGCACCAGATCTATTTCAACTTCAAAACCTTTAAAATGTTTCTTTTTTCTAATAATAATATTGGTTTTAAACGATTTTGCGAGTTTTCTCCAACTCCCCCCATCAAGCATGCTCATTGGGGATTAACGCACCAGGTCCTACATGCTTTACCATACACGGTGTGTAACTTACAGTTGACCTTGACTAAATCCAACTCTTGCAGGCTATTATTAGACATACAGCATATGGTTCAGAAGGAGAGACTGAGTGGCACACAAGGGTGGCCGCGGCGCACGAGTTCTACCAAGAGAGTGAAAAATCAAAGCGAGAATCCAAGTTTAACACTTGTTGGTCGGTATTAAACAGCCTGTAAACATATGTAAAACTCCATTAAGTTAATATGAGGAGAAAATACTTAAGTACAAACAGCAGTCGTTATTGTTGAGCTCTCTCAGACTGCTGTGTGTGCAGGTTCAGATGAAAGCCCCACTGCTCTGCTCACCCTGTTTAAAGTACATTATGTTCACTCACATGCTGTAACTTACTATATAACTGTATATTTTTAATGTGTAACTTTGTACACTCAGCCTCCTCTCAGTGCTCAGCCCGCTCACACATTCATGTCAAATACTTTATGGTTTTAAAGGAAATTAGGAGAGTTAGTTTGAGAATGACCAACTCTGTACAAGTCTTATTACAGCCAACTATACACTTACAGTAATACACAGGGCAGATGTCTGATTTAGAGGATGGAACTAAGTGTAAGAGTTGTTTTTAAATGCTGCTGAGTAGAGACACTTTTCTTTTCGTTCAGTCAATCAAGGAACCAATAAATCACAAAATGTTCTCTTTCATGTGCTTTCTATTTTAGTCGTACAGATAGATTCCTCCTCCTCACTCTGCTGCTGCGAGGGCCAGTAGCTCTTGGTCATTTTCCTCTAACCAAAAAAATCCAGGTCTATTTCTGACTAAAAACGCCTGAATGTTGACAAGTTGTTACAACATCCAAATTTAGTAACAGGAGCTCAACAGGAGGACTTAAAATAGAGCCCAGACCTAGAAATAAAACAGACCGTGGAGGCTTTAATTCTGTTACATTTTTAGGTCCAAATGACATTTAACCACTTCCTGTTTAGTGTAAAGTGAAGCTGTAATTTTTAAGGACATTTTCTTTGATGGTTTGAATATTTTTGCACACATTTTTAGATCATAATATAAAAGTTTTGCTAGTTTATTAAATCGTTTTCATGTCCAGTGGGAGGCTGTTTGGCCTGGGTCACGTTGCAGTAGCAGATTTCTAACACTTGTGTGCAGTATTGGTGAAGGTTTAAACTGACAGGGTCTTCTGACTGTCATTCAGCCTTCTAGCTCTCCTTTTGTCTCACTGTGTCTCTCAAGAATTCAAGTGGAAATTAAACTCCAGTAGAATCAGGCTTAAAATCTGAAGTTAGTTAATCAAAAGTTAGAAAAATTTCACCAGAAATTAAAGAAAAATAATCATAAAACCCTGAGAGGTGTTGCATTACATTGGAATTAAATAAGCAAATGTTTTGTCTCTGTACAGTCACTTGAACACGATTAAATCCTGTCTTTAGGGCCTCTAAATTATTTCATGTTTTTACTGAATCACCGTCCAAACTGCAGCGTTTGAGCAAAAACTTTTAACTCCGTCTGTGGTCCAGTGGATCCGGCTGTTTATGGGTGTGTCTGCCTCAGAGATTCCAACACACCCAGTCTCTGCTGACTGCAGACCAGGCTGAGACGTGCTGTTTAATAAATACACACCAACTGACCAACAGCAAGCTGCGTAGTGGTGTAACCCAAATATACAGAATCTATGATAAAAGCAGAGAATGTGATATGAGTTGCAACGATATATCCCATCAACACCCTCTTTCTCTCTCTGACTCTCACTTATAACTTATACTATACTTATAACTATAACTTTCCAGTTTTCAGCATGAGTAACAGCCTAAACTAAAAAGAATAGTAATTTCCTCACAAATATAGCTGAACCCGGACACACACACGTCCTCTGAGGTATCTCCAACATGTCACTATTCACTGTCGTCAGAGGAACGCAGCAGAGCCCAACCCAGGAGGTTATTTCTGTCTCCCTGTTAATCATTCCAAACCATCCAGCCCCCACCCGTCCAGCGACCCACAGCGACAAGTGTGTGTGTGTGTGTGTGTGTGTGTGTGTGTATGTGTGTGTGTGTGTGTGTGTGTGTGTGTGTGTGTGTGTGTGTGTGTGTGTGTTTGTGTGTGTGTGTGTGTGTGTGTATTGGGAGTGGCAGGTTGAAGTTTAAGTTTTAAACACAAGCCTAACTGGACCTGGCAGCATTTTATTGAATGATTAAAACTGAAATGGCTGAAACTGAAATGGGTGTGGCCTGCAACAAGAGATTTGGTTCAAATAAAGGAGCTGAGGAAAAATAAGAAATAAGCCCACATGCTCACCTGTGTGAGCACCAAAACAAGGTTTATATGTGACCACATGGTGGCGCTACTGGGTTAACATCAAAGCTAATTACTTTTTTTTTTCTGGTCCACTAAAAATCAAAAATTTTTGAGATATCCTGCTATCTAACAGTAATAAATAACACAATAACACTTTTTTGTGCCATCAGTGTAAGTTTGACTCTAGAAGAAGTTTTCACATTCATCTGCTGACGGTGGAAAGTTTCTCTGTGCTCATTGAAAATCTGCTTTTAAGGGCCTGCGAGCATGTCGGTCCAGTCTGTGACTTACACTCATACGTGTGGTGTAGAAGCTTGAAGCCACCAGTGCACACACACTGTGACATGTCTGGAGGGGATCTTTAAGTATATTATAAATATTATAAGTAATAAATCCACAATAATACATTTAATAAACAACAATACATGATATACATAAAAACATGATACAAAATAATAATATTACTACTACTACTACTTATAATAATAATAAGCATTCAATCTACAAATGTAAAAAACAAATGTAGATAAAATAAAATCACTGATTCTTTCTGTTCACTGTTCAACAAAACATATTTTCTGTGTTGGTGAGACAGTGAGCGTTGAGTTTATTCACATCTGCACGTATCACTACTGCACCACCCAGTTAATGAGTCTCTGCTTCAGTGTGTGTGTGTGTGTGTGTGTGTGTGTGTGTGTGTGTGTGTGTGCCCATATACGACCACCCAGGGAAACTAGAGAGACCATAACTAATTTACTATGCAGTGTTGTGACAGATTGTATCTTCTGTGTTTGTGTTACTCTTCATACAGATGTTCCAGCTCTACGATGCTGCAGGAAGCACCAAAGTACACTGTGAGTATGTGAGTATGTGAGGAGGAACATTTAAACACTGAATATTGACTAACTGATGCAATCTGATTCCTTCAAAATGCTGATCAAAATGCTTTCTGTGTGTAATCAAATAATTCTGTGAAGACACAAAGTTGATTTTCCCTGTGATAAAAAAAAAAAAAACATGATGAGATAGTTGTCAAACACACATTAAGTAGCGATGCAATCAGTGAACGAGCAACAAAACAAGCTTATTGGAATATCACACTTAAGCTCAAAGCAGCAATAAGCAGTTAAGATGAAGGAAGACCAAAAAAGTGTTTGATAATCGATCAATAGACAAAAATAGCAGACCATCAAATAAAATTACAAATTAAATGAAAAATTCAAAACATAATGAAGCAGAAAAATTCACAAAGATGGCTTCAAATAGCATTTTTGCTGCCCTTTGTCTATATGTCTCTCTGAGTGTTTACTTTCTTATAGAAGAAAATCTAATAAAATATGACCTCCAAAGTAAAAGACCAAATATGACAAAAATGTGGCAGTGGCACTTCTGTTGATGAGAAAACAGAAAATAGACAAAATACCATTTGGCACGACATTCTACAGTCCCTGCGCTAACGTCTGTGAGTGAATGTGCTAATGAAACAGGATTATTATTTGCACTTTAATTACCACAGTGTCTTCTCAGTAGACAGATGTGGTGACGAGGGTGCACACAGTAAATGGTGGACGCCCGTCCCTCAACGTGGCTGGTTCTGATCGTACCTGCCTGATGTCTGAGGGGAGGTGGGGCTCCACTACAAAGTCAAGACTGGTTGGATGTTGCAATGGATGGATGGATGGATGACAGTTTGGATCCAGCTGTTTATGTGTGTGTCTGCATCAGAGAATCGAACACACCCAGTCTCTCCTGACTGCTGTTTGATGGTGTTGTGAATCAGCCATCACTCCTTAATAAGACAATCTTGAGTAATACATTTTATAATTTGCAGCTACAGTTATAAGAACACCATTTGGTTAGGTTTGCCTTTATTTTACAGTTCATTATAAAATGAGACATCTATGACACTTTATTAATAGCTTACTAGCATAAAAGGTTAATTAGAAAATGATCAAGTCCTTAATTAAGGGCCATAGGTTTCTCACTCAAGTCACAAATCAACAGGCCTGCAGTTATAAATAGTTTAAAATAATTAGTAAGGGTTCTTACACTATGAAAAAATAAATGCAAATAGAACTAGAATATTAATCATTCTACTAATAAAGTAATTGTACTAATCAGAAAATACATAAAATATATTTATGCAGGTGTAAATGTAGAGTTTAGTGTTGGATCCTTTGTGGTCAATCTGTCTGTTGGAGGTTCTTCCTGCATGATAAGAGACAAGGGAACATAGTCCAACCTGGAGCCACTGCCCCATGTACCAAGGCTGAGTCCTTGCAGCAGCACCCCAGGGTTCGAGTCCGATCTGTGGCACTTTGCTGCGTGTCGTCTCAATTTATTTTTATTTTTATGAATAAACCCTTTAGGTAGTTACTTAATGTACAAACCATTTAAAAAGTCTGCATTCTTAAGAAGGAGATACTGTGATGTTTGAGTGTTATGAAGTTATTCGTAGTTGGTCTGGAGGTGAGTGTAAACTTGTATCAGTTTGTGTGATGTCACGACCTAGCTCTGGAGCCGTGACAAAAACGAGGAGACGCAGTTGAAAGTACAAATTATAAGTAATTTATTTAAGCATAACCCGAAAAAGAACTAAATAGAAGATGAGGTGTGTTTGTCAATAACATCAGTAGTGAAAGTGTGTGTATGCATGAGTGTGATGTATAATGAAAAGTAAATGTTGGATGTTAAAACACAACTACTCTGAATACCAGCAATGATAATAAAATAGAAAGAGAGCCCCCGTCAGCCAGAGAGGCGGGGCTTTTATAGCTGGGAAACACCGGGGCCCAGGTGCTTCCGGCTATGCCGATTGGTCCAACCCACAAGTACCTGCTGCCTTAAAAGGAAGAGGAAACATTAGAGCCACTCAGGGGACCGTCACAGTGATTAAAACCAAACTTTGTGTGTGAGTTGTAGATGTTGTGAACTGACCTGGAGCAAACAGACGTGAATAAACTGCAGTCTGACAGAGGAGAGAAGAGACAGCAGGCAAGTGGCTCAAAAGTTATTTCTTATTATGTTGTTATTACTTTATAAAGTCTTAATGGGGCCTTTTTCACAGCAGCCATTTCGACATGTAGAGTAAACACAGGTGTTACCAATGATGCTAATAAAGGTCAAACAGAGTCGCGGTGCTGCTATTGTGCATGTTGGCTCACTGGAAAGGCTCTGCCACACTAAATGGAACAGAGCCTAGTATCATTAGTAACACCTGTGTTTACCCGACTGTTTCATGTCCAAAAGGCTTTCAGTGAAAAAGGCCTATTGCCTGTTCACTGTCTGTCTGTGTATGGTAAACAAACTACCAGCAGGACCAGATTTGAAACCACTCTCTAACCTGTAGGGAGCCACAGTGTGTTTTAGTGTTGCTATTAACTCTCCCTCCCTCTTTCTCTCCCTCTCTCCCACAGGCCTGATCAGCGTCGGACAAACACCACAGCAGCCAAGAGAAGAACTGCAGCGTCACATCAAACTGGATTTACTGTATACTATGGTGTTTAGTGGAAGAATTGTTCACACTGTATAAAGATTCAGCAGGCTTCATTAAGTTGATATTCCATTATTATCATAATGTTTTTAATGTGCTGAATGACTGAATGAATGATTTTTAATAAAAACTGGATGATACCATTACACTTTTTTTTAGACTAAATCATGACAAATGCAAGAGGAATATTAAAGGAGTTATTATCCTATCTGGGTCTTATTGTCATTGATATGGATAACGTGCCTATACTGTAGTATAACATTGTTCTCACAATGGATCATTGCAGGTCAGCCTCTGGGACAGGACTGGAAACTCACAGCTGAAGGAAATAAATCTTCTCTGTCCTTCCTCTCGCTCCCTCGTGGCTCTGAATGTAATAAGCCAATTTAGATAATTTCTCAATTCTCTGAATGCCTGATTAGATTAATTCAATGGGCCTTTAATGGCCCTGAAGGGCCGACGCCAACCTGTTTCACCAGGTCTCCAGTGTGACTCATTCAAGGATTTTAACTCATACAAGATACTTTTCTGAAGCACCAAAGAGGATTGCCAAAACTTATTCTCCAAGATGGCCTCTCTAAGAACGCCTCTTCACAAAATCTGTCACAAATCCTACATGGTGAGGGCGGGAGGCAATACCGCAATGTAAAAACATTATCTTCTTGCTTAAGTAAAAGACAAATAGCGGTGAACTGTATTTAATTGTCAAAAGTAAATTGAAGGCAATCAGTTCAATCTGAGAAAACCTCTTATCTCCAGTTTGGGGGAGTTTCCTGCAAGAAGGAGGGAACAAGAATCTCAAACCCTCTGTGAGGCTGTATTTAGTCACATTTTTTAGAGACATTTCCATCATAACCATAAATGTCAAACTCCACTGGCGCTACAGGAAAAAACTGAGGAATACGTCCTCTGGGGACAATGAATGTTTATAAAAGTTCTGACAATTCATCCAATAGTCACTGAGATGAAAGTGGCGGACGGACCAACAGACTGACATCCACAGATGCTGCTAACATGAAAAGGAGGAGAGGTAAAGAAAGAAAAAGTAAAACAAGAAAAGAAAAGAAATAAAGTAGACGACAGACGTTTCATGATCTATTTAATTTTATGCTAAATATATAAATATAAAGTCATAATTAATTAAATGTTAGAAATAATCCAGTCAAGTTCATAAAACCTGTACTATTCGAGTCAGTGGTTACTTTCCTCTGTATTATTGTTGGCACATTTTTAATCCTGGACACATGTGGAAGGTGGATGTTCTACGACACAGGGAAACTGTCCGTGTCAACCAGAGTCGCCCCAGAAGTCGCCCTGTGCCCTGAAACCACCATGAGATTTGTTCAGTATGCCGTGGTTTGTTTGTGTTGCTGCTCCCCCTCCGGCAGCCTTTTTCCGACACCAGCCGTTGTGTCTTGAGAAAATGATGGTTCATGGCTCAAAACAAATTATTAATCTTTCTGAACGGTGGGAAAGTAGAGTAATGCTGTCGGCAACATTTTTAATCTTGAATGTCTGAGCTGTGAGTGGGCATCGGGAGAAGAAAACCTGTGTGATCCTTCTGAGTCACTTTCCGTTAAACCCACAGGATTCTCAGGATTTTAACTATGTGTGTGAAGTGTGTGTGTGTGTGTGTGTGTGTGTGTGTGTGTGTGTGTGTGTGTGTGTGTGTGTGTGGTGTGTACGCTGGCTCCATCCCCAATGACTCAGCTCTCAACTAGTCTGCACTTTGTAGGGATTAACTGAAGCATGTGGTAGACAAACATAGCTTCTAATGAGTACAGAAACTACATTTATCACCCAGAACCTGATGGAGTGTAACACATTCTCTCTCTGTGTCTCTGAGAGGTAGAAATCACAAGTTTGTTAAATTAGAGATCAACAATTAAAACACATTGAGGGCAATTAAGGGAAGACATTTGATAGATGTACTCCTGAAATGTTCTGACAGGTTAGCAGCACTTGATATGGTGTCTGTCAGTCTGTCAGTCTGTCTATTAGATTGTGATTGGTGATGGTCTAAGATAAGCTTAGTGCTCCTAAGAATTACATCTATGTTCTGCACAATTCTGCACCACCCAGTGTCGATTCTCAGTGCCATAAAGGAAGTAATGTGCCCTCTATGTAGAGATTGTTTGCAACGTTGAACGTATTTCGGGGTCTTGTCTGGTGTTTCTGAAGCCCAGTTCAGACCAAACATTCACAATGAGAAGAAATGGTCTTTGAACTTTGCAGGAAAAAGCTGCAAGTTTTGAGGAAAGAGGGGATCACCTCATCAATTTGTTTGAGGAACAGCAACAGTGTATGACACATGCCTTAAAATTTACTCAAATAAAGAGCACCCCTGAACGGCTTTTCCACCTTCTCATTCTTTTATGTTCTCACCGTTTCATCAATAAAATGCGACTGTAGCACACTATCACAATCCTCCAGATGCTACAAATTATATCCAGCTACAAAGAAGCATGAAAAGCCGCAGTTAGAACAGAAGTACAGAGAATCGTTGCTATGGAGACAACACACCGTCTCGTCTAGTTGCATTGGTGTGAATTGGCTGGAGTTTTCAGAATTGCAAGTAGTTGCAAGTTTCAACTCGTCTCGTCACAAATCTGGCCTGAACTGGGCTTCATACACACACCGCAACGTCCCCAGTTCATCTCGTGCCAGTGACCTTCAGTCGTCCACTTTCTCTTCACGGGTTTCCTGTCTGTCTCTACACTGCTATGAACAAATAATCAGCAATGTCCGTCCATAGCAACTACAGTGTGGTTAAGGTTGGGAGTCAAAAATGACTTGGTTATGGTTAGGAAAGGATTCTGGTCTTAATTTCTTTTTAAATCGTAGGTGTAATGAGCAACACAAACTTCATTTCCTGGCCTAAGTTGGAAGCACTTTATGACCATCTGCTATGACCAAGGCCGTATCCATGCATTTTCCCTAGTGTTTCCTTAAGTTTTCCCCTTCTCCAGTGCTCACCTGTCTGTCTGTCTGTCTGTCGCTTCTTTCTGTGATTGTGGGCATGTCTTCCCTTCCTGGCTCCTCTGTACACCTGTCTGCAGTAGTTCATCACCCCTCCCAGTCAGTCTGCCCCCTCATCCTCTGCCACCTCTAGCCTCTCCATCTAGTCTCCAGTATTATAATAAAACTGTTAAACTTTATCCGCCTCCTTGTCTTTGTTCTGCGCTAGGGTCCACCTCTGATCCAAAAGAAAACAAATTGTCCAACATGAATGAATTCCAATGGATGAAGTGGGAAAATGCATTCAGAACTCTCACTCTATTATGTTGTGTGATGTTATGTTTAATTTTACAGGCTTACAGTATAATATTTTATGTTCATGTATGTTCATCCTCATGCATTCACACTCGGGTTGTCTCACCCTAGTTAAGAGAGTTGTTATTCATTGTGCAATGATTTTGAATTCCAAAGACCAAGGCTGTCTCCAGGAGAGTAGGGCATCAGATGTGTTATGACTATTGCTTATCAGACATTAGACTCCACCAATAGACACCCTTGGGAAAGAGGCATATGATAGAGTGATTTTCTTTGTTTTAGTTAGTTGATTCTCGAGACAGCTCGGTTTGCTTGTATCCTGTGTTGATGCAAATAAATCTTACACGTGAAGTGAAACGGTCAGTTCTCTTTGCTTTTTGTGAGTCTGTGTCACCATTCTGGGTTCCTTCAGTGGGAGTTTGTGGTCTCTCATTATAGTCAGATAGCTAAAAGTTTATGTCAGAAAGACATCGTTTGAGGTGCATTGAGACAAGAAAAATTAAACCACAACATGAACATGCAGCACAAGGGTCAGTAGTTTGATGAATACACCTGCTACAATATACAAACTGCTTGGTCTTTGCATGAAAATTAAACTGTGCAACATTTATATTTAATGTAGAATAAATCTGATCATGCAGGGAACCAATGACTCCCTGGTTCTCTTAAGCTCAATGCAGCATCAACAGGAAATTCCTTCTAACGGGATGAGGCAGCCTGTGTCACAGAGCTGCAGCTGGAGAGATGAAGAGGGCTCAGCCTGGAGAATGGAGACAGAGGTAATGACTTGGCCTAGAAACAGTGTTGGACTATCAGGCTAAGATGTGCAGTCATCACAGGCAAACCCATGGCTTCCTGTTTCTTGCAAGAGTTACATCATCACCATCAGTCTCATGATGATCATATTTACTGTAGCTACAGTCGCCATAAAAATCTGCTTGTTTGAATTGTAGTTTTTCTGTTTTTTGGTCAAGGGCTGGTTACATTATTTAACTTAATGTTGTGTTATTTTGGGTAAGGTTATTATATTGTTTTGTTGTTAGTTTTGTTTGGTTGAATGTCATATATTACACAACAAGTTGTATATATATCTTCCAATCTCACTTCATTTTATGAGGAACAAATTGTGTATTTTTCAGTGAGATCAGGTCCCTGTGAAAGACCTCCACTAACAGGAATCTAGGATCTGAACACCTCTCACAGCTTGCCTCTGATTGGTCAGTTGTTTCCA